GGACAATATGGAGCAAAGAGGACAATATGGAGCAAAGAGAACAATATGGAGCAATGAGGACAATATGGAACAAAGAGGGTAAAATGGAGCAAAGAGGGCAAAATTGAGAAAAGAGGACAAAATGGAGCAAAGAGGAAGATAATCGAAAGCTACTTTTGTAATAAATAATATTGTTGGCAATGACGACGTATATAATATTTCTTACATTGACACCAATGTTGAAAATCTTGGTATTCTTTCTCATACCGTATCTTGGTTTTCATGTGTGACTAATCGAAACTTACACCACTTGCAATTTCTAACTCATCGACTGGAATATTAAAATGTGGAACATGTATGTTTAAATGTGTGTAGAAGCAAAACTACTGTGTTTCACGCAACAATAATACCAAAATGACAGACTTTCACGTCTGATTCATCGAAGAAAGGAATTTAAATGGAAGATGGCGTTGCACTCCTACGTATTAAAAGCAAATATATTTATTTATGTTATTTTTCTTGTAAGAATAAATCACGAAAAGTATTGAACAACACACGGCCGATAACACATATAACAGACCACCCACGGTGTTACACCACCGTTGGTTCCACCCACATCTGTTATTTGGAGTCTATCGGCCTAATGACGTTAATGTCTATTTTAATGCACTCTCGAATATTTTAAGGGCCGATGCTATGGACGCGCTCTTAAAGCGTTGTTCAAATGGTTGGCTGCTAAGGAGCTGAGCACGTCTATACCGACGTAAATAACAAAAAATACTTTTGCATTTAATCATCTCCAACGTTTTATTGCAAATAAAGATACGCATGCTTAATAAGTTAAAGTTCTAATTTATATAACAAAGCAAAATATTTTTATCGACTGGAAATCAAGTAACCAAGCATTTAAAATTTCTCTAAAAGAAGGGAGGCAACGTTTTAAACTACGGTGTTGATGATACGATGTGATGATGTAACTAGATGAAATGATTATGTAAATCAACTTATTCTTTAAAAGAAAAAAACTAATTCAGCACTCGTGTAGCCTTTTTTTTATTTTTGTTAGGGTCATTTTGGAGTGATGGGATTGAATTTAGTAGGCCAATAATTTCAATCTCTCAACTGGTAGAGAATTGCAGTTGCGTAATTACTGTTTAACTAAATTTCTTGAAATCTTTTCTGGCGTCAATGCGAAAGTCTCCGTAGTTTTATTAGTCAAAAGAAGGGAGGGTAATCGAAACTTAATGATCAGAACTAGTTTCTATCCTGCGTGCTAGTAAAAGAATTTTGTAAGATTGTTAAATTTATTCTTCTTTCAATGTTTTTATGTTCTTGGTTTGAACGACCTAAACTCGAGCCGCGACCGGAGCAGGGGAGGGGAAGTTTTATTCTGTAATGAAACATGAATGTGATTCTTATTATTTTCTCTTGCAATTCTTTATTTACGTTATCATAGTTGTTTGTAAATGAGTTTAGTTTTGTCAATGAATTCAAGGTCTACCGAATTTTGATCTGAGCGTTTCCATTATTATATCTTTACACCTTCTCTCCTCTGCTAGAATCTGTGAGTCATTGAATTCTATTTGATCGTTTAGATTTAATCTGTGCTTGGAAATAGTTTTGACTGTTGGGTTCTTCTAAAATATTTCATCTTTGCTCATTAATTCTATCTTTCAGATTTCTCTTAGTTTGTCCTACATATTCCAAATTACTGTCCTTACAACGTAGGGAGTAGACCACATTACTCATCTATCTATTGTGTTTGATCTTTTGCGTGCTTCACAAGTGAATTCTTTTTTAATACAATGTTTCGGATTTTGAATGAAACTTAAATATTAAACGAGACATCTTCTGTTGGACATTAAAAAAAACATGTTTTATGGAAAAACAGTAATTTTTTGTTTATATGTTATCTAGAACTCGGGCTAGATATACATCTAGGAACTAAAATGAATTGTATTATTTCATTAGACCTGAAGACAGGGGTGCAAAAACTCTCGAAACGTGTCGTTGAAAACTGGGAAAACATAGACGTAAGATTAAATTTGAATTGTTAAGAAATACAATAATTAAAAAATTGTCTGCTCTCTAAAGTTTTAAATGGAACTGTTCTTAAGAGAAATACTACTAGAAGAGGGCAGTATAAAATTGTTTAAAATGCCTTTTCATTATCTTAGGAGTTTATTTTGCATGATATAAAACAAATTCCATTGTTTTTACAATGTCCATCTGTCTGTTCGGGCGAGTCTTTGGAATTCTTGGACAGCATTTTTATGTTTTTTGTTTTTTTTACTGCACTGATATTTTATTACACTTACTTTAGGTTACTATTATTCAGATCTTTATTTTCTATTGTAAAATAAACAATGTTTTTACAAGTTTACTGTTCTATTCAGATCTTAATAATGAAATTTTGTATGAGACTTTCAAAACATGAGAAAGATTTATTTGTAGATGAAATTACGTAACCTTACCCCCATCTCCCTTTCCTACGTCTACACATACACAATTTACACACACAGTCTTTCAGTTCGCCGCGAATATCTCGAAAATAGTGAGGAAGTGCAACAATGTAGCAACGGTAACAGCGAATGCGGCAGGGCGAGGCGGAGTGTGGCGCGGCGGGGCGGGTTTGTGTAAGGCAGCGTGGTGCTCGGCAGAGCAGGGTTGGCTAAGACGAGGGTTCATTTCTTTTCCTGTCTCATAGACGATTGTGATAAATAAATACCCAAGAAAAGCTGGATGTTCCAGCTAGTACAACACAGAGATAAAACTGACTATTCTGAAGTACACTGAAAATGCATAGTACATGTAATAATGCGAGTGTAATTCATTCGAGGAAATTGGTTCCAGAGCATGAATATTAAGTGTACCAGTCGGCGGATGGCCCTTGAACTGCAGCCTTGTGTTGCAGGTTCTGGGCAGGCTCCTGGCGGCGCTGGCGCTGGCGGTGACGGCGGGGGCGGCGGCGAGGGAGTGCGACGCTGGCGGCCAGCGCTTCAAGTACATGTGGGGAGACGCGCTGTCGGACAGCGCGGACTGCCTCGGCCCCAACGGCGCGCCCTACCCTGCGTGAGTACTCGGCGCAATCCTCGCAGTTCAATTGATCTCTAAATATTCACCCGACCTCCGTAATTTGTACACGACATCATTGCGTGTTCGTATCACAGTTATAATCGAATATAAGAGTAAAACAAGAGTAATTTTTTCAGTTACCACAATTTTACCGAATCGTGCCAATTTTCAACCCGGGTCTTCGACCTCCATGGTTAACATTTTAATCTGTGCAACACAGCCACCCAGTGCATGCACGTAATTCGCAACTCGTAATTAAGCGAACCAACTGGCGATTTGCACTGAAGTCAGTACATATGATGTCACTCGGAGCGATAATGATGGTGTCTCTCCTCCCCTCGTGCATTGTAATTTTGGATTCTTTCGAAAGGTAGATTTTTACTTAAAATGAAACTTTTATCGAAGTTTTCTTCGATAGTCTTTGGATAATAAGTATAATATAATGCCCTTTGATCTTTCAGACGATCATTTTAAGAAATGGACTCTATTGAACCTCTTTGTTTATTATTCTTGATTAAATTGTAGGTAAAAAACGTTTCGGGTTCTGGATTTGTTCTCATCAACTAATTTCCAAATTGTTGTTCTTATTGTTGTTTATTTCAGGCTTTTTTACTTTGACATGTAGATATTAATTTCGAAAAGCTTGTTTAACCGCAAAATATATGATTTTTATGAGTTATTTAGGCATTTAGAAGAATATGTTTTACTAATTTGCTCAAGATATATCTCACTTATATAATGTGCAGAAGTAGAGAGAATGACATACAAAAAGTAGTACACAATGTAAATTCAATCTTCGCGACAATCTTCTTTTTTCTTGAAGAAAATAATTAAAATTATGTCACAATTTATGTTCAAAGGCCAGATTAACATTTCTGCTCAGCAATTAGAAAACTGAAAGCAAATGCAAAATGTACTTAAACTGCTGTCTTCTTTATCACGCGGTGTTCGTGCTCGGAACACAATAAATTTTGTCTACTGTGATGTGCTGCTTTCTTCTGTGCTTAGAAAGAAATGTACAAAACAATTGTGGGTAATAAGACATGAAATATTTCTTTGTCGTTTGGGAAAGACGATTAAACTGGAAATCGAAAATACAAGAAACTCCTTTGGAGTAGTTTCATTGAATATCTTCAGTTAATTAATTGTTCTACATCTTCAACTAAAAAAAATATATTTGGAGACAATTATGCCAGAAAATTAATTATTAATTAGATCTAGATGCTCTTCTGTCATTTACCTTATTTTACTAGGATGGTGTTCTAGTCTCTGAACCTCTTTAGAAAATTTTAATTAAGGAATGAGATTCTGCTTTGACGGCTAATTTCTTTCCGGAATCTCAAATAAAAAGAAACTGCCCATGAAAGCATGAGAAGTCACTTTATTGTGGAAATGTCATTCCGTGACCCGAGCATATTTCCCTCCTCTGCATCCGCATTTTATCCAAGAAGAACGAGAGTAGACACACAATCGCACGATTCTTCTCGGTACCCGCCAGAGACAACCTCGTTTCCCGAATTCATTGCGGGGAATCGTGGAGGGTTTGTAGGCTATCGGCTGAGACTGTGATTCCAGGGCATCCCCGTTTCTTAACCGGTTTTGCATCACTTGAGCCGCATGACAATGCCAACCATCGAGGGGCAAGACCGGTACTGGACCTTTGGGACCAGAGGCGCTGGGAAACGGGAAACATCTTCCTCGTTCTCAGCACTCGAGATCGCGGGAATTTGATTGTTCTCAAGATCAAGAAATCCGATCCAAGATTGCAGAGTTCATGCTAATGCAGTATTAGTATATATGCTCTACTAACCTAGTATACTGTAAAATGTTTTAATTTTGACTTCAGAAGAGATAATTTTGATGCTTCAGGATTTTTTGCTAAATGATGAGATTATTCACAAATACGTGTACTCTGTAGCTACACATTCGTTATGTGACAGGAATATCATAATACATTTGATGATTTCAACCTACACCTAGCTAAACCTATATTTAACATTTTGCAACTGACCTAGGTATGTGTCCAATATTTGTTTCCTAATTTTATGGCGAATATTTATCTGCTACACAGCTACTAGTAAAAATGGTTCTTTCAGGGCATGCATAGACTGCTAAACGTTCAATTTTTAACACCAGTGCTAAAAGTGAGACGATGCGAAGTGTTCAGATCAGTTGCTGCTGACCTTACTATACCGTGAAGTGATTTGTATACTTGAATTAAAGTAAAACGATAATTGGTAATACTGTCTAAAAATTATGTATGACACACATGGTAAAAGTGATTTTATTTGTCACTCGCATCATAAATAAATATTATTGCCCATTTCTCTCATTTGCGTCGTACTCGTATCAGATATATCATATTTTACTACTTTTGTGCGAGAAAATATTGTGATCAACTCATTATTTAACCGAAGAATTGGAAATAAAGTTACCAAAAGATATTCACGGTATTTGCATATGCTCAACATATTTACTCATTTTTAAAATAACATGAAAATAATTATACAAATATATTTTGGCAGAAAAACTGAACTTTTGCAGAGATAGATATCTTGAGCGATATTGTTATAAAGTATTTTTATTTATAAAGAGGACTCAATTAATTAATGTAAACCTATTTGGCAATGTTATTAATAGTGTAAGACCTTCAAGTAACTTTAATATAGCATATATTATCAGAATTACCAGTATAATTGATTGTTAGAACGTGCATTAAATTTGATTGTCCCTTTTAATAGTAGAAATGAACACTTACGAATAGATGATGTGTACTACTTAATTTTATCGAAGCTACAGAAGATGCTAGAGACATGTGATTGAAATATAGGCAATAGAAAGTACACCGTATATTTAATATTGTATGTGGGGTCATACCTGTATTTGTGCGTCGCCTATTGCGTATTAACGGATCAGAAATATTCAGACACAGTCCTCTAATAAATACGGTCTCGAGAACGCACAATCAATTCGTAATTTGCACTGTCTATAGGCTATATATACATCTGTGTGCGTGTATACAGATTGTTCTTTTTGTAGTATATACACTTTTTCACATTGAAATGAAAAAGACGGACGTTATAAGGATACCATAAATGTCTATTCTTCGTTAAAAAAGACACTGAAAGAAAAAAATTAATTTCGTGCGTGTAAGCAAATAGATTTAATCTCAGGAAATTAATGTTTGTTTATTAGTACCTCAATAATGTACTCATACATGCAAGTTTGTTAATGTGTATAATTGCAATTAAAAACGCAACTGGGGAATGAGACACAACACAAATCACAAACAACTGTGTCATGAAATCAGTACGAAAAGCTCGCATATTAACACACAAATCTTTCTTGACTTACACGTTAGTGGTAATTGGTTTTTGCTGGTATGCTACGCATATTGCTCGTTTCATCATCAATTGTGTGAACTTCATTTGCATTGTAGAAGCAATGCAGCGTTGAAGCTTTTCCGTGGCCCCGTCGCGACCTCTGTCGTTTGCCAATGTGCTCTAACGGCGTCTCCATTAATGGAAGCCGCTTTATTAAGGCATGTGGGTGAGAAAGTTGCCATCGACGCGGGGTAACGGCACACGGGGCGTGGTGGCCAGACTCTACTCCTAGGTTCTCTTTGAAGCACTTTGCGGACCAGCCGAAATTTGTACATTAAAACTGCGCGCCAAATGATAGAAATACTGAACAAAATGCAAGTCGAAAATGTACTTTAGAAATTTTACAGGTTCATTGAAAATTATGTTCATTAATGTTTTTGAATCATCTACAGTCTCATATCGTGTTAAATGACATAATAAGTCATATATTTTGGTCTCTTCAAGTCTTATGTCTCTGTAGGTGGTAGAGAAGTGGGAACCAAAACATCAATAGTTTCAAGATAATACGGCGCTTAATGGGTACTTATTGTATTTATTATGTGTGTATTCATGGTTATTGCTGAAACAATAAAATACATCTTCTTTATCATAGCGATATCATATTGATTCATATTTCCAACTCTGAAATGCGAATTAGAAATAATGAGATGTTTTATTAAGGTAGATTCGCGAATGCTCGAGACGATGGTAGTTTTCGCCAAAATTCAAAATAATTCATTGAAAACTTAACCCAGAGGTCTGTAGTAGCTGCAATAGTCGCGAATCGGCGTGTGCGCTTCCTGGAATACCTTTCTGATTCTGTGGAAATTGAGTTCTGGAGCTGCAAACGTTGGCTGTTCTCGAAAGGCACACGCAAATACTGAAGCTTATTTCTTCCTCCGTCTACCCACTAGGATGCAGCGCTAAAACATGCAAAATCCTATTTTTGAAATTTTTTTTTAGAATTTTCTATCCGGTTTCACAGACAAATTATCAGTTCCCCATTAAGAGACCGAGACACGTCGAATCACACACCACACGTCTCGTTTTTGAGACGGGGAGTGGTCGAGCCGCGAGTGACAGAATTGCACATACAAACAAACCCACATTCGTGCATTCGGGAGTTACTCATATACTGTATAGGGATTCGTACGCACTCTACGACGAAAGTAAAAAGGTCTCATTTTGTAGATTGCGACCCAAGAAGCAACTCAGAAGAGGTCGGGCGACGAAAGCTCAAGAGGGGTTGTATTTCAGTTACGCATAATGGATGATGTGCTTTGCAATGTCTGTTACGAATTGTAATTGCGTTTGTTGATTTCTTCGTATCATCTGCAACATTTTCATTTTTAGTTTCAATTTTTTTTATAGTCCTGGGTATTGCCCCATTGAGCAGTGGTTCATTTGGCGACTTTCGAATCGTACAAAACCTTCCTTATGGGTATTACATACATTTTGTATAGATACTTCAGTTCTTCAGAAAAATAAAGGGATAACAAACATTTATTTTGAATAAGAAAGCCAAATACAAGGAACGTAAATTATGATTACCTTTAATTGTCTAACAAGTCGAACAGAAATCACAATACAATCAACTTTTCCTTTTTGGCTGTCCGGGAAACGCCTCGAATCTGTCTCCGTAACTGCTAAGAACATATCGACTCTGGCCGCGGAGGCGCACGCTTTCAAAATCAACTTTTTTGGCTCGTTTTAGAAACGAGTAGGAATATGAAATTCCATATTAACCGACAGTAATATATTTTATACTTGGTAGAAATGAAGTATACTTACTGCATTTACACAATGATACTTTTTCAAGGATTCATATCCGGAAGTTTCGCTTTGCATTTGTGCAAGTACTCGACTCTGCAATCGTCGTGCTTCACGTACGTTCAAACTCGAATGATTCAGGCGGTGGGCATAGAAAGGCAGGTGAGCAAGTCACTCCGGCAAATAAAGCTCTTCTGAGGACCATCTAAAGATTTCACGCTTTGCATTACATTGTACATCAATATTACCATGTATGCTGCAAATGAGTCAGTTTGGATTTTGTTTCCAACTTTAATGAACACGAACCTGATAGT